CCAAAATGACAGATAAGACCAAATAGCGATGGCTTAATATTGCAACATTAGCATGAATCAAGGTCTTGTCGCAAAGACCTGGGAAAGGGTGTGCACCAGTAAAAAACAGTACAACACCATTGCGGGGCGCAATTCCAGTCGAAGAAGATTTCGACCGAAAGAAAAGGGGTGAGTGTCCTCGGCATAAAGATAGTAATGGTTATTACGATGCGAATATTGAATTGAAAGCTTGGTTTCTTGAAGCGCAACAACTTAGTATTTTGAAAGCAGATCTTAAGAAGATTGAAGGCGGGGTTGTTCACTCCATTCACATTAAGTGAAACCGCCTTGAAGGTCTACGCCTCTTTACTAGAAATGAAGGAAAGGCTTTAAGGATCCTTCTGCTGAAGGTTATAAGGGTTGAATAGCCTAAATTAAAGACTTTTGAAAATTGGGCACAGTATCGTACTGCAGAAGGTCTTTTGCAAAAGAGTAAAGCCCGACAGCCGATGCGTGAAAATTGACCTCATCAGTATCGTCAAATCATCGGGAAAATTAGGTATCGCATCTTTAAGAATGTACAGCTTGTGAGGCTCATGATAGACGGTAGGTGCCATAATGTAGAGCACCAAAGCCCAACTAGAATTCACAAAAATATCTTTCTATCTTGTTTTAATATCGGCTCTACATTACCCAAAATAGCTTGAGCTTTGTCGTAGCCTTGTCAAAGGTTTCAAGCACCTTAAAAAGCTTGTTTGAACCTTACCAGTTCCCAGCCGAGCGTGAGCCAAGAGAAGACATCTACTTCGGTAGTGAGCGAGAGTATCCAGGCGTATTTAAACTCCATAGCCGTCAGTATAACGTTAGGATTAGCCTAAATCGCGGAGAGTCGATCAAGCGGCGGACAAGTGCTCAAGTTTTGTAAGAACGAGTCAACGCGCTCGAAAATCACGATATGGAATCTTTTTCACATCGTGAGTCAGAGTTACCGGGGTTACCATGGCTACATAGACTGGGGTAGCAGATGTAAACGGTACGAACTTTAAGCAAGTATCGTCGCCCACCTCACGACAAAAGTCAAGGTCGTATGCCATTGAGACACATCCAAATTCAAATCTTCCAACCGTATTGAGCTATAGAAAGTCTACTTGAGAAGATCATCTGGCCGTGATGTACCTTCTATGAAATGAAGTCGAAGCTGATCGGCTTGGATTCAATAGATCAGCGCCGGAACGACCGTATATCGCTGAACTAGTGAAGCAGCATTGGCCCATGAAGGAGCAATATGCCGAAGTTCCTAGTTGTTGATATCCTCACCCAAAACGTCTCCAAGTTGGAGTCCGATGAAGTGGAATCTGCCTTGTCAAAGTCTTCATCCATGGACGACGCAACCTCGCCATCTGATATGGTGACGGTAGTAGTAGGAGAGATGTCAGTTTCCGATGGCGCACCCTGATCGGCGCAAGAAATTAGTAAATAATCAAGCTGATTATTGAACGAACATTCACTGAGCGGTCGACCTATGGATTCTCTGAGAGACGACGCGAATCTCTTAGGACCAGATTTGATAGGGGCACTGGAAGGTGCAGCCGTATCAGAAAACAAAAATCCTGTAGAAATAGAAGCCTTGCGTGCGAATTCTTGTTCGTCTTGACGAAGACGAATGGGCGGGGAATATATATCATAACGAGCCACCTTGTGGCTCACAAAACAAGCACGAAGTTTCAACATACTGTCATCCGACGACGAGAAATTGGTCTCTCGAAGAGGAGCATCCTGAAATGGGACAAAGGTAGATAGCACCTGGTCTTGTCCATAGTAAAGATTCTTTACCGCGAGTGAAGGCCAATTCGCATGGACGTCGTTAGCACGCATGTAGAGTTGCATTACAATCCGCAAACCAATCAATAATCACGCGGTCCGAAACTTCATCAGGAAGACTGACCAAATCAACGAAAACGTAACGAGAACCGTGCCTCGAAAATTTAGTGATAATGATTTGCGAGATAAATGCATCAAGCTTCACCAAGCTAAGCTTATAAGTAATGTCGTAGGTCGTGCAAGTAAAATAGACCCCCACTGAGATCTCAGCTTAAGGTCTTGTAAAAGACGAGCCTGACGAGCTTTCTTCCACAAATGTGGTTGTTCATCCTTCGCAAGCTCATTAGGCACCTGTGCGAGGTACTTGCGCTTGATCGCATACGGACAAGGAATCCACGTGCGATGCAGCTCCGCCGCATTAGTTGGCGTTGGAGAAAGATTTAGGGTATTTGAAAGCAAAGCGTCAAAGTTACGGAGAGCAAGTTCAAATTTGCTTGCTTCGAGCAAAGATTCCGCTGGTAGCTGATGATGGAACTTAGAGCGGCGAGGCGCCGGGTGTGGCTTCATTATTAGTACTGGCAGATCGCAAACTTGGTTCGTCTGCGCGGATGACTGGCTGCGGTAAGATGAACAAACGGCAACTCTAGGGGATTTGCAAGCAGAGCAATGAGAGTTTTGAACGGAAGTACCGAAGCGCTAAGTGTACCTTTATACTCGGAGCAACGCAACTGCAGTCCTCTGACTTAGAATGACGCGAGTTGTAAACCTCTTGAATGGAAGTTCTCACGGTCCGAGACGCGATAGACAGACAACTAGTAATAGCGAAAGCAACAAATGGTGTTACCATTGAAGTACACGAGCAGCTCAGCAAGCCACGGGAGACGAAAGCAATTGGAAGCGGCAATGCAAGCGCGGCGGAGACAACGGCGGGTGCAGGCAACAGGGGCGAAAGACGAACGGCAAAGGAAGTCGATCAAAAGGGGCTTGTACGGTGTCGCAAAGGGGGCCTTCTCTGTGCGAGGGTACAGTATGAGGAAAAATAGAGACCTTTAGCCAATTATGTGCCGATGTGTGTGGGATTTACTAATTATCGAGCGGCCAAAATTCGTGATTTAGCGAAAAGAGTGACACTTGGTGTGTATTGTAACGGGGCACACCCTTGCGTGAACTTAACGCAAGGGTTTTGGTGCGCCCGACAGACGTACACGAGGCAACCGAGGAAGCGGTAGGTAAGACAGAGGCAACACTGTCTTTGGGAAAAGTAGAACTGTTATATTAATATAATTAAGTCTTTTAACTACTGTCTCTCTGTTTGACTTAACTTAATTTTACTAATCTAACTAAGTGTATGGTGACGTCTCGTCACCACTCATTGCGCGCGTCTTGCGGCGATTGGTGGGTTGATATCATCAAGATATCAACCAATGAGCAGACTCTTTGGTCGACCCATCAATATCACCACCATTGGTGATATTGTTCAAAGAATATTCAACTTCATATTCTTTATTGTCATTATCTCTCAAATGACAATTTCCATGTAACGGGCTGCCCCGTTACATGTATTGCAACCTGTAACCAACGAGACGGATCCAACTGGACGCGTGCGTTACACCCAATGTGACTCAGATATCCACACTGAAAGTAGCTGCCGACAAGTAATCTTTTGAGCCTGCTCACGAATAGCTCTGCTTTTCGATCCCGCAATCGTGGGCGGTTAGATCGGGTGATCATCTTATTGCGTTCGCCGATCAAACCACCCGCATCTCCGCGAAGTGTGAGCACTTTGCCTACAACATGAAGTGCTTCCTCTTTCCATCGTTGTGGAGGAGATCCTGCTACGAAGGAAGCGTTTGCTGGTCAGAATTCGTTCGATAAGTATCTTCAGTCTTGCTCGTATATCGTGCGAACCATGATCTGGCTGAATGACTACTACTGCTTGGTTCAAGTCTTTCACCGCATGAGGGATACGCGCCCTGAGCCACCTAAGATTCTCCATGTCGCCTGCTGCAGCAGGTTATCATGCAAGAATCGGACTTCACTTTCGTCATTCGACGTTTTGGAGGGTCGTCAAACGGTCATCATCCACGTTTTGAGCTTCTACGCATGGAAATGAGCGCTGTCGATCTTCACAACGCGACGCAAACCGTATGTCTATGCTAAGGTCGTAGTCCTAGTCATACACGGCAGATTCATAGTTTCGGGTCGTGACCCTTATGCACAGACGTGGGTGTTTGAGTGCAAATGAAGAGCGATGCTGTAGATAGTTCTTTGTTTATGTGCTACCATGCAACCGCTAAGACAGCTGGATCTTGCAACAAAGCATTCGATTGTTTGTCGCTCACTTCTGGCCTCACATTCTTGGCTAGGCCGATAGCCATGTCCGAGTTGCCAAAAGGTGTTGTTGAGTAGTCTTTGCCCGAGAGGTATTGGCAGCGGTGTCAGCTCCGTGTATCGTGGCTGGTACACGAAGCGAAAGGAGTGGGTGAAAGCCGATGCAGAGTCGGACACGAGGCGTCTTCTCATTTCACGCATACGAGAGCTGCCGGTATCACACGAAAGAAGCAGGCGTATGGGCGCCTTGTTCATGTATCTTCGTCTTGGCGATGCAATGAGTAGCGGGATGGTCATCGCATCATTCGAGACAACGGTGAGAGGTATTGAGTTGATTTAGCATGCAGTTTACAGCGTCAGCCATCAAGGCAAAGAAAGATCAGCTCGCATCCTATCAATCAAAATCATGTCTGCTTCAAGTCACTGTCGTGTATCTATGACAGCGCGTCGTAAGGCACGACAGAACCTGACGCAACGGCCGCTTCGGGGCTCGTTCCAACAGCTTTAGACCTCTCGTTCAAGCGCCTGACAACGGTTCATGTCGCTGGTATTCTTCCTTCATTTTGGAATACGTTGATGTTCCTGTATGGCGGTGCCGTTTGACAACGACATCCTTTTTTAATCCATAGATTCATACAAGCCCTCGTCACCAGCGAAAGAGGGTGTTTCTGCGAGTGCCCCTGGAGTTTTGCCCAAGGCATGGCGTACATACAAGCAGCTCAAGTAGCATAGTTTCGTGTAAAGTCACATGGGACGCGACGTTTAGCCGAGCGATGTTTTTTCTCCATGGCGCCCGGTCCCGTGAACGCGATAGTATCCTTTCGCGTGCGCACACGTATCTCACTTCCAAACATTCTCTGTGGCAAGGCATGGCGCAGCAGTGCACGGGCTTAGGCATGGCACAGTCGCTGAGCTTTTTCTCGTCTCTAAGGAAGAGCGACAGTGACGAGAACGACGACGGCGCTAATGCGTGCGCGATATGTCTTGAAACGATGACAGGCGATCTAGCGGCTCTGTCGTGCGGCCACGTTTTCCACCACATGTGTGTCAAACAAGCGCTAGCCGGGCGTTCCGTGTGTCCTGTTTGTCGATGCAAAGCTAGTCCCCGAGGCGCGATCCGATTGTACTTGTGTGTTGGCACTCGTCAGAAAAAAGGCAGCAAACACAAGCTTCAGTCCCGCAGCAACCGGCAAGTTGACCGGGAAGACGTGCGTCAAAATGGGACAGCTACAAGTGCATCGGAACTGCCCGAGCGTATGAGAAAGATGCGCGTCGAGTTGGACCGTGTCAACGAGATGCAGCGCATGACGTCGAGCCATTCATTCCGACTGGAGAACGAATTAGTGCGTCGACAACAGCAGCAAGAGCGGACGGTGCGGCAGATGCAGCACATTCAGCACGAATTGGACAGGGCGAACGTGAAGTTGAAGCGATTGGAACGGCTCGGTATGGTCGCGTTGTAAATCTGTGCAGCTTCTTCTCCGATGCGTTACGCTGACTCTGTTTTGCTCTGTTGAAGTGCAGCCAACTCAAGCTACTCCCAGTGCAGAGAGGCAACGCACGCTAGCGTCGAGTTTGAGCGCAAGGTCCGCACCAGCGCGGACCGGATACTGGAATCGATACGACGGTCCCGGCGCTCTTGCTGTCCAAGCTGCGCCAGCCAGTGGGTCGAGATGAAACGTGTAGCGCAGGAGTTTGCTGCCCCACTCGGAGCCCGGTCGTGTTGTTCGCGTCATTTCCGTCGCGATGCCATCACAAACGTCGAGCACCGACTTACACGGCACCACTGCCACCTGGAGCCATGCAGCAGGAGCGTTTGATTGCAACAATAAATGCACTCGATGTGGGTAAAGGGACATTATGTTTCTGCCTGTGCATCATTCGTGAACCATACGTCGGGTGTCTAGTTTCTGGCGTTTATATCCTTTGGGGGGCGCTAGTGGTCGCTTGACATGATGCCAACACTACCTGTCTGGCTATCCAATCCATCAACACCCGGGAAGATCATAGAAGTGAGTCAACCACTATAGGGGATACTGGTCCGGGAACTTCTATGGGTTTGTATGGAGAAGAAGAGAGCCAGCGACAGATGTGACCCAGTGAATCGCGTAAGTAATCATTGCAGTTTGAGGGCTATCTATCGTCACGCCCGACACGAGCGACATACCGCACACGGTTCGATCCCACGCCTTTCTCCATGCCCTCCTTTATTCATTCTGCAATGTAACACTTCCTTCTTCCTCGCGTGTCTGTGCCAAATGAGACTTTTATGCATCCAGCGCAGCCGAAAGATGACGAGCCGGTCACGTTCGCTGGACGTTCAGACCACCAGATGACGCAATTGCAGAAACGGGTCTCGTGCTTTGCTCGCTGTGTGCACAGAGCGGCGGACTCGCGTCGCTCTCACCATCCGGTAAGCTCCTTCCACAGTTGCTGTGGGCAGTCGGTACTACCGTATGCTGCGCAATAGCGGATCCCGTCGCCAACACCAGTGGATCCCTAGAGCAGCCAACCTCCACCCGGCTTTTCGATGGGGTGCAGCACAGACGTGACTTGAGGCTTGGCCAGTGCCGGCTCCCACTGATACTCGGCTGTCGGACCAGCTGGCACGCACGCAGTGACTCCGAAGGCATAGAGAAATACAAACTCCCAGTCGAGCGCTCGAGCGCGCGCGAGGCCTCGTCGTCCCCTTTGGTCCCTATCTCAGCCAGCCAGCCAGCCAGCCCCTTGGATGCTGCTCCTCTTTGACGCGCAGCAGCCGGCGTCTTCCTGCATGAACAACTCCTCGACGAGCGATGAAGATGTCGACAGGAGCGAAGACTGGGTGCACCAAGTGGCCTCAGGCGATCTCGAGAAATCCGACCACGCAGTCGTGCCGACGCCACTGCTGCAGCTCGCGGCAAGCAGACACCAACTGGCTAATATCATGAACACGGACACGCTTGCAGTTGCAGCGGCAGCGCTTGTGGGGCGGGCGACGGCGGCCAGCAAGAGCTCCCTTGCTTTCATCTTGGATGGCAGTGCGGACGAGGACCAGACCCAGCTGACGGCTGGCACAAGTTTCGGTACGTTGCGCTGATCATTGGAGACAAAGGCCTAGGGATGCAGGCACCGCACACAGAGGAGGGGGATCTCCGTGTGTTTGCACGGACTGATCGCTGGCTTCCTTGGTCTTGATGCGTTCGCAGCTGATCTCATGGTTGGCTCAAGTGTTTTCGCGACGGAAAACAGGGCTGCAAGCGTGCCAGCTACTGCTGCTGCTGTTGTTGCTACTACTACTACTACTACTGCAGAAAAGAAAGCTGCCGTGAAAAAGTCGCGCATTTGCAAGTTTCAGGATTGTACGCGCTACGTGGTAAACCGCGGGCTGTGTATTGGTCACGGCGTACGTTGATGGGCTGCAGCACTTTGCCACTATTGCATCTTTTTGCATGTTGTTTTGGGTCCAACTCCTGAACATGGGCTATGCAATACACATCCCGATACGTCGTGATATAGGGCGGTAAACGATGTGCTGTTGTGGGGTGCACGAGTAGTGCTAAAAATTTGGGTGTATGTTGGAAACATGGTACGCGTGACGCGATCTTGACCCAAAGCTGGCTTCACGATTTGCTCAGCAAACGTTGCGTAACGTACATATGCAGGCGGCTCCACCAAGTGCACAGCGGACGGATGCGAGAACCGTGCCAAGTCTCGCGGAGTTTGCTGGTCCCACGGCGGAGGTACGGAAGCTGCTGTTTGCTTTGTGCTGTATCCCGAATCGTTTGTCAACGAGTTGTTCTATCGCCATTGTAGGCCGGAGATGCAGCGACGGAAACTGCACCAAGACCGCAGTGTCGAACGGCCTTTGCTGGGCTCACGGAGGAGGTAAGCTGCACGATATATGTACATGTATTTTCGGCAAACCTTTGCACTGCAGGCTTCGAGGGTAATACTCATACCCTCGAGCTCTCGTTTCTTTGTTTTCCTCATGGCTTTCTGCCGTTACTCATCTCATTGTGGTTCTCTCCTCAGGTAAGCGATGCGTCGTGGAAGGCTGCCGCAAACCTGCGTACGAGCGCAACGGCAACATGTGCTCGTTGCACCAAGTTCCGAACGCTGGTGCTTTGCCGACACTCGACAGTCCCGATCGATTTACAGGCTAGCGCATAGCGAATCGTATCAGGGGAAGCTTACGCCAACACCAGTGCCCACGCCGAAAGGAGGTCGTCGTCTTCGGGGCAGGTAGGACCGATCGAGAGAGTAGGGGAGTGCGCTCAAATATTTATTCCCAGATAGTTTTGACGCACTTCGAGCTTGTAGAAAAAGGCAATCCAAATTTTCGCGCGATTTTTTGCTGAGCATCACGAATTGCTCATCCATTCCCCGATTTACCCGCTTGACGGCAACTGTATAGAAGTGACGGTTAAAAGACCATGGTGAGCTGGCCATATCTACCAGATGAATCGCGGTAGAAAAACGGTGTGGCCATCGATGTCCGATGCGGTCCGATGTGTTTGCCTTTGGTCATTTGCGTTTGACTTGACAATGTTTACTGGTGACGAGCGGTCGATGGTGCAAGATGTTGGTCATCGACAACAAGAAAGACAAGGAAAGGCGTTGAACATGCAAACTTGATATGGTTACTGGCTACGTGTACCCGTCGCGAAAGAAGTCGAGCCAATGTTGAGTCGTAGTATGTCACGGCCAACCTCTTTCTGTTGCAAAAGACTAGCGCTAGGGATTACAAATGACGGCTGACTTGTCCATCGAGTCAGCCTGCACAAGTCTCTCCTACCGGTGGCATTGCGAGTCGGTACAAGGCCACACATGCATTTCAGCAAGATGGCTGTTGCCTTGCACAGCACTTCGGAGGGTTGCAGCAGAGGTAAATAGGTACATGTACCCTTCCACATGTTCTTTCGACATAGATGTCAGCTCCTACCACATGAGCTCGTAATCAACGTTCATGAAGTGCTTGAGCATTCTGCTGCGCTTCTCCCTCGATTGACATGGACGTTAGTCCTTCAGATCATGTCTTCGCTATCTCAGCTGCGCTCGCAGTGAGGTTGTCCATCAACTCTTACAGCTTCTTTGCACCATTCCGGAAAGCCAACGCCACGTCAGCCATCGACGGTCGTCGGTCCGGATCTTTTTCCAAGCATGCAGCAATCGTGTCCTTCATTATTCCCGAGCAGAGACGACTCAAGCGGAATCCAGTCCTCTTTGCAGTTGGAGAGAGGTAGTCTTCGGTTCCTCCTCTCTCCAACGACAGTCTTCGAGCATTCATCACAGGCGTCTCGCCAGTGTCAATTTCCACGAGCACCACGCCAAACGCGTAGACATCTGATCTCTCTGTTGGCTGCTCACCACGCAAGACCTCGGGCGCCACAAAGACTCGGCATTCGTTGTCCAAAGGCGATAGCTTGACGTAGTGAAAAATGCTGAAAATGCTCAGCTTGGCAGAATATTCTTTGTCCAGCAAAATGTTGAATGCGTTCAATCGACCGTGCACGATATTCCGTGAGTGCAAGAACACCATCGCCTCGGCAATCTGTCGAGCAATGGCATGCTGCTTCGGTATAGACAACTCAACAACGTCGTTCACGGTGCAATCTCGCAGAGCACCCTTTCCAACGTACTCGACCACAGCGCAGAGCTCTGTACCATCCACATCCCACATGGCGCCTCGAAAGGCAGCAATGCGCGGGTGCTTGAGCTCAAACATGAGCTCGATCTCCGTTACAAAGTCCCGCAACAACGCCTTCGAAGCCGTATTGCTCTTGATCTTCTTGACAAGCACAGCCTCGTGCTCGTATTCGCCTAGCCACAGCTCAGAACGGCTGCTAACACGCAGCATTTTGTGCAGAAAGACGTCGTTATACGACAGTCTTGTGAGTCCGATGTAGCCATCAGCTACAGACGCGAGCAATTCAAAGTCCGACGCCGTGCAGCTGGAGAGGTTTGCCGAACGAGGAACTCCTAGCTCCATATACGGGTGGTCCATCAAATCGCCAATACCAATGGCAGTTGACGGAACGGTACTATTCACATGCTTGAGATGGCCATCGCTTTGTCGACGAAAGCCCCACCAAACAAGACCCATAAGCAGCAGTAACACCACAGCACCCAAGCATACACCCAAAATGATCCACTTCGTGCTGGAGGAAGAATCGCCATCCATGCGTACACTTACTTCGATCACGGGTTGTCCAGAAGCTGTTGTGTTCGACCCGGCATTTCTGCTTCCTCTGCAGAACGAAAAAGAACTGCTCAGTGCGCTTCGGACTGCGGCGGCCGGGCATGCGCTTGTGTTGGTCATGCCGTCAATTGTAAACATGTGCAAATTCGCGAGGAACGAGAACTGCCGCACTGTCAGATTTGACGCATTGATGGGATTGTCAGCCAGCGTCAGAAACCGCAACGTGGGTAGCTCGAAAATGACATCAGGAATAGCTCTGAGCGAGTTCTTGTGGAGATGTCTGTCCGCATAGACGAGAACAACACGACGATTGCGAGTCAGAACAGGGTTGCAGCGAGAGACGACAAGAGCACACGCATCGCACTCACAGGGTCGTGATGGCTGGAACGTTGTCCTCTTCAAGATCAAAGCGCGTCAACGCATTTGACGACAGGTCACTGTGCATCAAGTGAGCGTTATTCCAGTCACGCCACAAGACTTCAGCAATGACCAAAACACGTACAGCAAAGTCAGTTGTGGGAACGCCACATCTTGGAAGTCGTCATCGACACTGGCGATGCCGTTGTGGGATAAGTCACTGCAATGCAAACAACAGTCAGAAGGCCGAGTCGAGTGTGCATACAAATGGTTATTGTTGCAATTGAGCGAGCAAGTAAACCGTACATGGCATTGACAGCGTCTCCAGCCACTGCAGACGTGGGGATTTCACGCAGCGAGCAGTTGTTGATCGATCTGTTCACAGGACAGAGGAACCACAAACAGCACATTAGTCGCTATAGTACCCACCGCACACACACATACACATACATTCACACAGAGTCATTGCTGCGCCTTCAGATCGCTTCTTGCGACGTACATTCTCTTGACGCCATTGAGCGGCAACGCGCTGTCGAGTCCGGACAGACTCAAGTTCGCGAACGTGACTTTGTCCAGCGTCGTCTCCGATTGAATGTTCATCGACGCGAGTTCGAGCGACGCCGACAGTCGGTCGGTTCTCGCGTCTGCGTTGCTGAACGTCACAGCGGTCACGTTGTCCGCCAGCTGCAAGAGCCCTACACGCTCAAACGGTCCCGCGCCTGCCGTGGCACTGCCTTCGGTCGGGTGGAAGACCCACTCGGAGGCGGTCGACGGGAACGCGTCGAGACACAGCGCCGACTGACCCGACGACAGTGTGAAGCAGTTGGTGTCGTTGACGCAGTTGATGGCACTGGTCGAGGACTGCCCGACAATGACACAGGCGCCGTTGCTACTGCCGCTGCTGCTGCTGCAGCCGCCATTGCAGCTCGTCGTCAACGTGTTGAGCGTACCGCTGGGTAAGCTGGAGACCGGGGGGCCTTCGGCCGACGCTGCAGGCAGCAGCAGAGCTGAGACGCCCCCGAGGGTCCAACAAGTCCTCCAGGTCTGCATCCTGAAGAGGTCCTCTTGTTGAGCGTCAGGAACCAGCGAGCGACTGACTTCCTACCAGACAGTGTCCCAGACGGAACGGGTCGTGTCGAAGGAGGAGGAGGAGGAGGAAGAGGAGGAGGAGCAACTGCAGTCGAGAGGTACCTGAGCTGGAAAGAGCTGCAGTCGGTATCGGAGCCCGAGAAGCAGTGGCACCTGCGGGAGGTCGTCGCGGGTGAGAGAGAGAGAGCGAGAGCGAGTGAACTGTCCGGCCACAAACCCTCGTGGGGCGACGGGAAAGTCGGTCGGTCGACTTGACAATGCGATAACGACCGTCCGCCCGTCCGTTTGTGTGTTTGTGTGTTTGGTCGCCTTTTGTGTGTGTGGGGGGGGGAGTGAGTGGGAAGATGTGACCGCCCCACGTCTTTGCATTCGCCCACTGGTGTCACGAGACAGACGTGTGACTGGACGTCTCTCGCCGGATAGGAGCAGAAAGTTGGGCGCTGTCGAGCGTTCGCGGGTGGACCAAGTGGCGTCAACGGCTTCGCACGGATGAGCGGTCCAGTCGAGTCGCTGGACGAGTTAGTTGTCCCTGTCGGGTATGTCCACACCCCCCTGCAGCCGTAGAGCACCTCGAGGGCTGATGCGGAGCTACTTGCACTGGCTGAACGCTGTAGGAGCGGACACGAGGCACCCGGCATCGGGCTCATGATCTGGCAGGGCACGCACGAGCTGCTCGCGAGATTGTTGAGAGGGCGAATGGGCTCCACAGCTGCCGAGTTGCGGCGACGATGGCGACTTTGGCGACGGCGCAAAGCAGCAGCACGCGCGACTGACACGTCAGATTTGGCAGCTCCGAGGGGAGCGGCGGCTAAAGCTGCTGTATGGTGCCATTGACTTGTCGGCGCTACTCACAGTCCGACGAGTGCTTTGCAGCAGTTGTGCTGCCGCAAAGCGTCTTTGGGGGCTCAACTGACGTTGGTGCTATCCGAGTGCAGACACCTCGGGACAAGACAAACGTCTGGTCGGAACATGTCTTGCCGTGACGAAGTGAGATATGCGCGTCAGATCTGCTGACTGTGTGGGGTTCTTGTCCGACACATTGACCTCTTCGCCTTCTTCTACCCGTACTTGTCGCTCGTGAAGCCGATGCTGAGCGCTTCGACTTGTTGCACTTTGTGTGTCGATGAAGATAGCGCTTAGCTGTTTCGTCTTGGGGGTTCAGCAGAGTTTGCAGTGAGGGCAACTGATGCCACCCAGACGTGACATGGCTCGTTGCAAGCAGATTGGCGTTTCAGCTGCCGTCTCGACTGCGTCTCACGTTGTGTGCGGTGGTTACTACCCAGCAAGGCCTCGAGGTAGATACAACGAGTGCTTCATCGTGCGTTGGGCTCTGCTTCAATATGTCCGATTCTAGCGGGGGGGGGGGGGGGTGAGGCAATGCAAGTATCTGCCAACAACGCGGCATCCATCGTGCTTCGTGTCTGCTGTGAACCTTCTATAGCATAGTGGCGTTTGTGCGGTATCAACGGTGCTTTGTCGGAACACCCTATGCAAGCCCTGACCAAGTCAACTTGTTGAGAGGCGGGGCAATGATGGCCATGGCAATCGACAGAATGTCCCCGATGACGTCGCAGGGAGTCTTTCACTCGCATAGACCACACGACACGTATTGCTAGCGGATCACGGCGACTTGCCAGATCCCTAGCGACTTCTGGCGGACGATACAATCTCCGGCTCGTGTCCACATGTAACCTAATACCAGCAATACGAAGCGAGCTGATGGATCCAGTCACGTCAAAACGTGGCATCTTTCTCTGTGGTCAAAGGTGTTGTCACCAAAACGACGGCTTTGCAAATTCATTCGCGTCCATCGAATCAGTTGGTACCGAATTGCGTGCTCAGGTTACAATGTTGCACAAACGCATAAAACCGAAGCTAAAACATTATCACGAAAAGCGTCTCGGTGCTACATTGGACATCTCCCGAAGTATCTTCACGTACCGCATCTTCCATCATCATTTCACCACTGCACTGCCGTTTTTACGACAAGCAAGCAAGCAATCATCATTGTTGTGTATCTTGGACAAAGGAATATCATGATGCTATCTGCGAGCTGATCTAACAGTACAATTAGTTGCCGTGCGCTATTGACTAGTTCTTTTTACGACGTAGCACGACATGGTAGTGGATGATGTACCATCTCCCATCGGGAAACAAACGCGCGACTAGAATGTGTTGCTTCAGTCCCTAGACCGAGTCTGAGTCCGCATCGGCATCGGCGTCCTCTTCCCTCTTACGCTTGAGCAGACTGGTATCTACCCTAGGAGCTTCCGGCTTGGACCCAGCCGCTGACTCGCTCCCTTTTTCGGCATCCGAGTCGTTACCGTCTGCCGGCAGCTGCGTCGACTCAGGCTTTAGAATTGTAAACCGCAGGTCGCAATCGGCCGAGCTCGAGTGGTTCTTCACGAAATATACATTGCCTGCTGGCACGTAAAACTCGTCGCCGGGGCTGAGCAGAAAGTGCGTTGTGTGCTTGCTCGTGAAGAATTCGTCATCCGTCTCTGGTGACAATGCTAGTTCCAGCGACTTCGGCTGACAACCTGTCACATAGAACAACTGCACCGCTTGACCGACACCCTCGGGTTCTTTCCACGCACCGGGAGGCAACACTACGCGTCCGGAGATCCACCGAGCAAACGGAGACGGACTGAACAGATTGAAACTCTGTCCTGCGTACGCGTGTACCACGGCACCACCTCTCTCTTCCGTTGGCAGTTTGCGCAGACGAATCTCATTGGCACGGCAGATGATGTTCAGATCATTCATGCAGCCGGCCTGGCCGTCAAACAGCGTCGCCCACTCACCGTCCACGATCTTTTTTTGCACGTCTTTCGGAAGCTCCTTTAACGCCAACGCTCTGCTGTTGTTGGTTCTTTTGGACGGCGGTTTGGCCTTCGTTCGTTTGGTCGTCGGTGAGTCCAGACCAAGGCGCTCGACGCCGACCACCGTAGGCATCACCGTGCCCACACCGACAAAGGTGCGCTCATACACCATATGCTCACTCTTGAACCAGGCGAGCGGCTTGAAGCGCCGCCGCTTCGATCGACGTAAACCACTGCCATCCCAAGCAGCATCTTTTTCGGTATCGTTCATGATCTTAGCGGCATCAGGCAATCTGTCTCGGACTGGGCCGCTTGGCGCGTCTGGCTCGTTGTAATAGCTATCGTCTCCTGTCTCACCACCCGAATCGTTCTGCGCCTGGAAAGATTCGTCGTTATCGTCATCTGTCTGCGCGGACTGAGTCGACGTGTCCGTCGCGGGCGGAGTCGTCCTGTAGCCATACTTTCCTGTCGGCCGCAGCCGAGGCGTTTTCGTGGCCTCACCAGCCGACCGCTTGCTACTGGCCGTCTTCTTGGCTTTCTTCGCTTTCGCCTGCTTCTTTGCACGGGTTTCGTCGGGCATATCGCTACCGTATCCATCTTTCTTGAACAACTCCTTGCTCACATTCGGTGAGAGAGAGCTCTTGTCCGAAAACGACGGAATCGGCTTCAGCTCTCGATCACTTGCTGCAATGGCACACACACCAAACAGTACAACATGTCAGTGACACTGATACTGAAAAGACGCCGAGCACGGCAGCATACGAATTGCCCTCCAATGTGGCGAAACGCACCATCCGAGAGTGGGGTCACTGGACCTTCGTTCGCAGAAAACGGACTGGCCGTATCGTTGTCGAAGCCATGCCCAGCAGACGATTCCGTCGTTGGTTCTGTTTGCTTGCTTTTCTTTCCAGTAGACTTCGCACTGCGTCGGCTACGAACAGTGACGTTCTTGTCGTCATTTACATCCACAGAACCATGCGGTGAGCCACCGAAATCAAAGGAGACATCACTTCGCGTCGGCGATGGAATCACATCCTCTCGTTTCTCTTCCTTCTCGGCTCTGCTATTGCTGCTGACTCTCTGCGTCCGCGACAAGATCGGTCCGATCTCGATGTCCATACTTTCGCGATCACTGGACGGAGGACTACCGATCTCCGGAAGCTCCACCTCGTGCTCGCTCGGCTCCGAAATGTCTCCAGACGTATCTGCCGACTCTTTGTCCGACGCAGTGAGCGCTGTCCACAAACAGCAGTACCCATTCAACCTGCGTCAGCACAGAAACGCGTACGCATGTCTTGATGACCCATTGCAGTGCACAATTACACACAAAAAGCGACGTACAGTCGTCGTCGTCGTCCACGGAGTCGTCCTGCACTGACTCTTCATCGACCCAAAAGTCGTCAATGTCTTCGAACCCTTCGGCGTCTTTGCGCACATCGCCACGCACCAGTACGGCATCCGAGCGACTGACATGTTCCATACATATGACGAATAACAGTTTTTTCCATTCAGCCCCATTTCAGTCCTCTTGGTATTCCATCCATCATCATCAAAACGCTTTTTTCTTCGCCATTTTTGCTTTTTACGTACGTTTCGATACTTTTCTGCCGCGTCTTTTGTCTAGCCATGAACTGCTTCAGCTTGGCCTTGTCGACTGTCGCGCGGTCGTTAGCCGCTCTATGCGCGAGCCATTGCATCCAAAAAAGCAGTACACGCATCAGTCAGTCATTGCGGGATTTCCATTCTTTCCGCAGTCGATCGTCTCGAAGCGCGAGGAGAAACGCACTTGGTGCGGGGCATGAGCGCCTCGATGTCGTCGTCCATTTTTGCTTTTTTCCCCGTCTTGACACGATTTGTACAAAAAGACAAATCTGCGGTAGATCCACTACGCGCACGCTGGCACGTGATTCGCTCATTGCTGCCCCATGCACGCAACGCCTTTCCACCAATCAACTGCACCGACGCAGCGTCACGTTGTGCGTGAAGTAACACAAGCCACGCGCTACACCAACGACACACCACACACAAGCTGCCTGCACACGCGCCAACGCGAACGCCCTCTGCCTCCTCTCCGACCCGCTGCCGCCCACGTCCAGGCCGCGAACGACCGCCTACGACCGATGCAGAGCTCGTCGTTCACCGTGGCGCCGCACGTGCTGGAGCAGGCTTATAAGTCCATCCGGACGACGCCGCCCGAGGCGAAAGACCTCGAGCAGTCGAGCAAACTCCAGTCGTTCATGAACACGCACTTCCCCACCGAGTCGGACGTGAACATCACGCGCCGGTCGTTGATTTTGGCCGAACTGCGCTCTATTTTCCGCCAATGGGTGAAGCGCATTTGCATGAACAAGGGCGTGCCCGAGGAAATGGCGGCCGATGCGGGCGGCCAGATCCTGGTCTCGGGCTCGTACCGTCTCGGTGTAAACGAGCCAGGCGCTGACATTGACACGATCTGCGTCGCGCCGCGTCACGTGACACGGGAGGACTTTTTCTCGTCGTTGAAAGACATTTTTCTGCAGCATGCCAAGGTGTCAAACCTCGTGGCTATTGAGGGAGCGGTCGTGCCGATCCTCACGTTTGACTACGAGGAGATTAACGTCGACTTGCAGATTGCGATCCTCCCGCGCAACTCGATCCCTGAAGACCTCAATATCTTGGACGACCAGGTGCTTGTGGGGGTCGACCCAGCGACAGAGAAGAGTCTGAACGGCCCACGCGTGACGGAACTCATGATCAAGTTGACACCGAATCGAGAGAGTTTCATCAGCGTGCTGCGGATCGTGCGGCGATGGGCCAAGCGACGCGGACTGTACTCGAACAAGATGGGGTACCTGGGAGGTGTCAATTGGTGCATCTTGGTGTGCTTTATCAACCAACTGTACCCGACTGCAGCGCCGTCGACATTACTGCTGCGCTTTTTCATGGTGCTCAACAACTGGAAATGGCCACTTGCGATCCAGCTATGCAAGACGCACGACGCGAACCTGGGTCTGGAAGTCTGGAATGCAAATGCAGGCCATAATCGGTGCGCTAGCGATAGAGTTGCATTGCTTTTTGTTTCTTCCTTTCTTTCACACGTTGCTGACGATGCGAATCTTGTGTGTGTCGTGCTTCTTAGGTACCAAGTGATGCCAATTTTGACGCCGGCGTACCCGTCGATGAATTCGTCGTTCAACGTGTCGGCACACAGCCTAAAGGTGATGAAGGAGGAATTTAAACGTGGCTTGACGATCGTTCAGGACGTGCTGAGCAAAGGTGGAGTCGAATGGGGCCCGCTGTTTGAGCCATCTGACTTTTTCGCCGTTCACCAACACTACTTAGCGGTCGAAGTGTATACAGAGAGAGAGGACGAAGAACAGGCATGGTGCGGGTTCTGCGAGTCTCGTTTGCGTAAGCTGGTAGACTCGTTGGCATACAATCCAGCGCTGTGCCGCTTGCGTGCATTTCCGAAGAAGTTCCCTTTGAGCTTTGTGACAGGCACTGAAGCAGCAACAGCTGAACAGCAAGTCGATAAGACTCCCAAGCCGCCGAGCAAGTTTGGCGTGTGCTTTTACGTGGGCTTTGATATTGACCGTCGTCAGCTGCGCAGTCGTGAAGTGAGCATCGACCATTCGGTCGAGTACTTCAAAAACAGTGATCTGTATCGCTGGAACAAGCGAACTCCAACCATGGATGTGAGAGTAACTCCGGTTATCTGGAAATCTTTGCCCGAAAGTGTGTTCGAAGACATGGGTGGAAGGGTTGTTGCCCGGACCGCTCGTCGTGAGTTTCTGAAGAAGAAGAAGGAAGAGGAGAAGAAAGCAGAGGAGGTTGCAGCACCGAGCCCTCCACCGTCGGGTGACGAAGGAACGCGCGTGCAGGAAGATGGCGGGGATTTGACCTCGAGTCAGAAGACGGAGGTACTTGCAAGTGAGATGGACAAGGGCAAGGGCAGCATTTCTCAGCCAGGCAGTCCTGATCCCGCGGTGGACGGTGGCGAGGTACTGAACCGCTCCGAATTGCTCGACGACCCTCTGCTCAAGGCGAAGACGGTGGTGGCATCAGCATCACCAGAAATGACAGGTAAGCGTGGCTTTGATGGAAACGATGATGGAAACGCTGTGGGTAGTCCGGACGGAAAACCGTCGGGTGATGCTACACAAAACTCGGCCAATACGTCGGTCAATGGTGGTGCCGCCCGCAGGCTTACTTCGTCTCCAGTGAAGGCGGTCAAGAAGCCGTTGGAGTCGTCGGTGGCTCCTCCAGCCGTGTCATCGCCTCGCAAGAGACGTAAAATGAAAATCACTTTTACCAAACTGAATTGAGAAGGTTGTACTCAGGGCAGTGATGGCGTGGATGAAGCATGGCAAAAAAGGAAACGCCATGGCATGCCATGACGAGAAAGAGGGAGCGGTTTTCAAACAGAGGTAGAGGTAGTAGCAACTGCGAGGATTTGCTAACAAACAGAGTATGCGTGCCATGAAGCAAAACCTGGTGAGCGTCAGCAGGTTTCGAGCAGCGAACAAGCAGTCCTCATGCGTGTATGTTGTATGATGTCAGGTCTACGATCAACGTCTGCGGACATGGCCATCTCCATTCTTGACGAAGGTTCCATTGATCTTTTGTCGGTCTGGGGTGAATAGATAGGAAAATCACATATATTTGCGAGCAGGTTGACGATGGCTATCACTTTTACATTGCCAGCCACCTGACCACCGATCGCAGAAAATAAAAATTAAATAATACCAGAAACTCATACTCGCGTCTTGCCGCCGTCCCATTACCACCGGTCGTTAGTCGGAGAAAAGGAAGAACGACACCAGCTTGAGCCAAAACGTCTTCTCAGCGCTCGATAGCTCTTCCTGTTGCAAAAATGCAGGCAACTGGAAGCGTGCCGGCGATGTCATACCCGTTGGCAAACGATCGACTCGCGAGCATGCAGATAAAACTCGTTCGAACCTGCCTTTCCAATCTTTGACGGAACGTCGAGGCTGATCTGCGACCGGCAATGACGACACTGAAACGCCACCGAAGTACCGGACTAGCACGCTTACGAAAAACGCATCCATCACCATTTGATCACGCATCGTAGGCGGTGTCGATGGCGAGGCTTCGCTCAGTAGCTGGACTCGCGCCGAAGCCATCGAAGTGATATTCAACGAGGTTCGGTGCCACAGTGCGCCCAAAGCCTCCTCCGTCTGGTGGGATAGCCACGCGCCAAACTCGGAGAATGAATTCACCATACTTCCTGATGCGCGGACGTTTTCGGAATCGTCCTCGCCATGTTTTGCTTGTACGGCCTCTTCCAAACGACAATACTCACTGAACATGCTCAAGTTTACAACATCCGTGGCACATGACAGCTGCGGTACTTGTTGCAACCGAAACAGCGCATGCAACGCATTCACATATGAAGGCATCAGCAATGGCACCTCGTCCGACACTTTTTCCAGCGATCGCAAGCTCAACTGGGACGACCACCAACTGCTGCCCCAATCTGCTACATTGAAGCCGTCTACATCGTCCTCACTGACCGCACAATCGTCCTCGTCGCCAGCAATACTCGTCGCAAAGTACAAACGAAAAAGTTCTCCCAGCCGATCGTCACCGCCATTGTGATCTTCTATGTGCACGTCACACAGCAGTCTAGACCCCTCAGCAAAACCTGCAGAGTGGCCGTTATCTTTTTGCTGCCGGCGTTTGAGAAACACCACGTTTTTGTTTTGTAAGAGGTCCAAGCGCAGCGCATTTGCGGTCTTCACCGCTTTTGCTCCCAAATGTCTTCGCTCGTCGGATAATGGCGACACAACAATCTCAATCGGGTAGAATTCAGGATCCGAGATGACGAGGCGTTTCATAGCAGTGATATCCGGTAGAAGGCACGGACTACGCAGCTCTCGATACAAAGACTGACTCTTGTCTACCGAATTCGGAAGAAGCTCGACTCGAACTTGAACAGCCGAGGTCGTCTTAGTATTCACGTCCAAGGTCTCGATAAACCGCGAAGTGTCAACAGCCCGCACATAGAGATGACGAAACGCCTGCAGATGATATTTGTTGTCAGCCGTATTCATTGGAGGTATCGGATACAGCGAGATCACAAGCGCCGCAATGGCCTCCTTCGAGCGAGAAACAGTTGCACGCCCACCACCTAGAAAGAGCAATCCGATCGCCATAGCCAGACCCATATGATTGCCATAGCTTACTGCCGCGTCTACGCGTTGCCGCAACGTTAATGAGCGCAGCAGCGTAAGCGTCTCCACATGGCCTGTTCCAGCGTCAATCAAAGCTAGGGCCTGTGCACACACGGCCAAGCACCGTTCAACTGTCGCCCGTTCTGTCGCAGCAGCAACAGCGTCGCTGCTTCCGCGCGGAAGCATTGAGGATGACGACATGGACGCCTTTGCCCTCAGCTCGCGGAAATGCAGAACATACTTGCGCAGCGTAGCACGCGCTGATGTGTTTCCGGTTCCAGCGAACCGTAACCCGATACTTAAGCACGCGCCCGTTACAATGTTCGCGTAGGCCTCACAAATTGAGCCGAGATCAGAACGAGATGGTACTCCGCTCGGGAGCTCTGGTCGACTGAAATCTCCTTCTGGAGTCTCAATCGACTTATACGCTTGAAGAAGCTGTGCAGGGACTTCGTGCTGATCGATCCACGCTATCGTCGGTAATATGTTACTCCACATCACGAGATTCTTTGCCAATGTACGCACTAACAAGATGTCGGGGCGGACGTAGTCCAGGAGGATAAGAGTGTCAGGAACCACCAGCTGTGCAGCCACAGCTCTATTGTCAGTCTGTATGTACATGAACGCTAGTGCCAGAGCACTTGCGCATCCAGTCACACCAACGTTCACATGTTCGCTCATGCCGCAAGTGCCGCTCCGGCCATTCGACTGTTTTGAACCATGGCCTGCGCCGGAAAAAGTCTCTGAACTAGCATTGAGTGTGCCATTGCTAGAAGAAGTACTACCATTGACCGCGGGGGCAACGCCATTTCCCGTGCCGAATGCCTGCCATCGACGACCACGATACAGACAACTCCCAGCCGCATTCGGATCTCGGAGTTGTTGCGCACCTCCGACGATGTACTTGTGAAGCTTTTCTTCTAGCTTCAAGTCAGCTAGTCCAGGATCTCCTGTAGTGGTCTGACCGCGCCCGAGTATGACGAGACCAAGCGCCATTCCCGCTGCTAATGCATAACCCTCCAGCTGATCGAACAAAGCGGTCGACAGTTCCGCGTTACCGTCACCTCCCACACATTGGGAGCTCGATGGAGAACGCGCTATTTCAGTGAGCAACAGCTCTGTCATTAGTCGATACCCTGTTCCTTGGTACAAAATGCCTAGTCCAAGCAATGCCGCCGTCTGAGTTGATGCAGGTACTGAAAAGCCTCCGGATGGCAGTGGCAGCAATGACGGAACATGAAGGCACAGCATTTTGGATACCGACCTTTCCAACGCCAGCTCCGATCCTGTTCCAAAAAGGGGAGACGTCTCTGACAATCCAAGCTCAGGAACACCCGAAAAAAAGGTATCTACCTCCAGCGAGGGTACACCAGCGTCTTCGTTTGCTGGCGACAAAGACTGACTTTCATCGTCATGGACAGGACTACCCGTTGCCACGGCTCGCTGCTTGCGCTTGCTACGGCAGTGCGCAGCCGTGCTTGCCATTCCCAGCATGATCCCAACAGTCACAAACTCATTCGACAGCGACAAGTAGTTGTAGACATCCGCCATCGACAAACACTTGAGATGACCGCGTAGGCCTATCCCCATCAACAATCCCCCATGGGCTGCATACGCCTCTTCCATATTGCGAGCAGCAGTATCATCTGATTCTGCTACTGCTGCTGCTGTCTGCCGGTCCACAAAAGAGTTTTGTTGCGGAGGCTCACTTACCGAAGGCCGATGGTATTTGATCCAGTGGCGACTGATTGCTCCAGAGAGATCATGTGCTGGAAGCCGAAGACCTGTGGCGCATCCGTTGTGGAATTGGGGCCAATATGTCAGCTCTGTGGCATAGCCGGAAAGATCAAGCTCCACAATGGCATTTGCAGGTGGTTTACGACCTGTGAGAGGCAACGCAGGAATACGTAGTCGCCACGTGTGTGATTGAGCAGTAGGGACATCAACGCTACCGAGCGTGACCATACCGCGTGCGACAGGTAGCGCCATTGACCGTTTGCAAAGAAGTAGCAATCGACTCTGCTGCTGCTGTGCATAGTCCTGATCCGATAAATCTGGCGTCTTGTCCAATTTCAAGCAGAGCGGACGACACGAGCGAAGAAGTCGCGCAACTTCTTTCATCCTCTGGTCAGCAGGAAATAGTGGTTGGCTTCGACGTATAACGCCTTCCAGACCGTCACAATCATCGCGAGTTCCGTCATCTGATAGAACATTGGAATCGGGCAAGTTACTCCCTGGACCATGCTGTTGTTGGTTTTGGCCAAACGCAGGGGGATCAGAACGGTCGGTAAGGTCTTCTGCGCTTGCAATACTAAGATCTTCCCTCCCCACAAATGCACAAACGTCTTCCGTGATAAAAGGCGGCGGGTTGTGCTTCACTCGGCGAATGGACTGGACAATAGGAAAGCTCAATCCGACCGGAAGATCTTCCAACGATAGTGCACTACCAACGGGGTCTTGAGCGAGGTAAATGATCGGATCAAGTGCATTCGAATGCGCGGCCGGCGGCTGAGGAGCTGTCTCTCTCAACTTTGGAAACATTAGCTCGTATGCGCGACAAATCGCTCGTGTGCGCCATAGGGGGTTTCTAGGACGTCGAAAGGAGCAATGATTGGGAAGCTGCTGCTGTTCTAGATCGTCAAACAGCGCGGGAAACTCCACTACGTTTTGCACGTTTGCTGTCATTTTGTCTTGAAGCCACATTATCAAATCAGGAACGCGCCCGTACGTGGTAAAACGAAGCAGACTCTCTGTATGCAGTTCATGGTGAGATTCCGATGCTGTCGAGCTTGCTTGGCACTTGGTTAAAATGCAATTGTCCTCTTGGTAGTAGGCGACAAAATGAATCAAACCCAGCTGCAGCCCCATATCCGACAGCAAGTCAACTAAATACAACCGCTGGCGGAAGAGCGCAATAGACAGCTTGAGCTCTTCGCACAGCAAGTGGAGACCCGCATACACAGCCTCCATGAAATCTCTCATTCTTGAGCACTCTCGGTTACAAGCTACTTTAGTGCTGTCGCTAGTGCTCGTTCGAACATCGCTGGTCAGGGAGCTTGTGACTGGCAGCTCCATGGTGGCAAAAAGCATTGCATGTTCATACTGGTACATGTCATGAAATTTGCTCTGACAAAGCGCATGAAAAGCTGACGAGAACGAAGTAGCAGTAGTCTTCTCTTCGTCGCCGCATGCCGATCCTGCTGTGATTGGTGACAGTACCGTGTCACGCGTACAAGCCTGTCGAGGCAGCAGATCGACGACGCACTGACGGAAGGACTGCCATTCAAGCCCACCGTCCGCGACATCGCTACCTGCTAAACTGCTCTGAGCTTTCAGTTGTGCCTTGCAGACCACTTGAGCTCTGAACGCGGACAACGTTGGAGGGGGAACGATGCAATCCAGCACATCGAAGACTTGCTGCAGCAGCGGAGAGTCGACGATCTTCAGCGGATGCGAGTATCGCCAGATCTTCCCACGCAAGCCACCGCACATATACGGAAACACAATCTCATAGGCACGTCCTTTGTCGATAGAGAGTAACTGAACGATACCTGTCAGTCGCATTCTCTTTGAGCCATCGTTGTGCAAGTCGTCAAACACGATATCCTCTTGCGCCAAGTCAGGCAGAATCAGACGACAAATTGAACGGTGTGCTCGATACAACGTGAGAGTCCCACTTGTTTCAAGCACCACGATGTCGGTAGATCTTTCATGGCGCTGTCTTCCTGGATCCTTTCCACCTTCACGCGAACCCGGGTCGTTTTTGTGCGAAATCGGCACAGCGTCACGACAATATAACGTACGAACGTCGCCAGTTACACGGTCGTCTTTTGTGTGGAGACTACCTTGCTCCGAAAGCGGCTTCAAGAATAAAGTGCCAGAATCTTTGTCCATGATACACAGCAGCGGAAAGCCATCACAACCTGACGCGATAAATGCTAGTTTGGTGCTACTTCGTCGTGAAATCGAAGACGTACTTGTCGGCATCGGTGATGGCGAAACAGGAGACGCAGTAGCAAGCATGGGCGGAGCAAGCGGCATCTCGAACCTCGTGTTTGAACGTACTGGTCCAACTCGCGGAGACTTCCACATAAGCTCAGCTATCCACTCAGGTTTAATTCGTACCCGTAGTTCGTCCAAATCACTTTTAGCACGGTACCTTGTCCATGTCGGTATGTCAACGATCTTCACATGCGGCAGGCAACAACGCTTTACATTTGTCTCCACAACATTCATTCGAAAAACATGAAATCTCTGTTCCACACAATGGAACGCCACTAGCATAGGTGAAACTTCCTCCTCCAGCACATCGACAGCTTCAAAAGCCGAGTCCGAGATAAACTCTGTCTCGCCTTTTCCGACCATCGTTCTCTTTCCCAAGCTTTGCGCTACTGGACGGACCTCATCAAGAGGATGTCGGAGTGTGAAGTACCTGGGTCTCACTGGCGCACCCGTCCCCGAGACACTGTACTTGCACCTGTTTCCGTCTCCTCTGTTACTTGTGCTCGCGCGTCGGTTTTTTCTCGTCAGAGCCACAGCGGCAGCATCTCGGGATCGTTGTAATGACGTCACTGGGACCTGCACCGCCGGACTGCGTTGCAGCAGGAGCCCTCGCCCTTCCATGGGAAAGATTCGATTGGCCTGAAATGGCAGCGCGACTTCAAACACTTCTCCGGCTGCAGTGTATACATTCAAACAGTCAAAACGCACCAACACGCACACGTGAGGGTGCGGTTGGAGCGGCAGAGGCGAGCGCCGCAGTCGTGTGGAGCCTATAAACCTTCTCTCTTGCATCTTCGAGCCACGTGGCGCTTGTGTCGAGAAATCCGCCAGCACCGCATCCAGGACGCGCCCTGGAAAGACAAATCGCCGCTCAACGACGTGCGTCCCACGATGCACAAAGCTCACGCTGTTGAAGGCCACGCGCACGAGAAAAGGAGACTGGTGGTACTGCGACTCGCTAAAGAACACGCAGTCGTTGCCAGGACGTGAGGCGTCGCCCTCACTTGAGCGCACGCCGCTACAGCGCACGTGGATACGCGGCAGCGCATCTCGTTCCATGAGAAATAAATAAGTTGTCAACAAGAACAGGTCCAATAATAGTGCTTCGTAAAAAAAATTTGGTGCCACAAATAAGCGCGTGGTTCTGGCCATTGCTGTAATCTAGGAGAGGGTATTGTTTCGCACATTGGATCGACTTTCGACTATCCGAAGGAATAGCCGCCGACGATCGTTCGTTGATTCATAAACCAGATTGAAGCAAGCGTTATAGTTATGACCGTTCTAAACGATTTGACACTATGATGGTAGCAGAGAAGAAGAAACGACAAGAATGTGGGGGTAGACGACTGCTCATAGTAGCGCAGTGTGTAGCGCAAGCGAAACAGGCTGAACGCACTCGTCCTTGACCACCCGAGCTCGCCAAGATCCGGTGCGTCCCATGTTTGTGACACGGCCTTGTCGATCGTCAATGAATCGAGTGCCGAAGCTTGGCTGGGTGTCCATCCTTGGCCACTGCGCGTCGGAAGCGTTGCAAGAGTCTATTGACGACTTTGCATCAAATTATCGGCACCTTTTGATTCCTCGTGAAGTCTCTCACAATGTGTGAGTACATGCGGCGTTTTGCCACGAAAGTAAGCACGGGATCGCGTTGCTGCTGGCAGTGGCATTCTCCTCTGAGCGAAAAATGCATTTGACGACTCCTTTCAGCTCTTCGCTGAATCCCACGTCTTTCACACTTATGCTCGTGACTGGTATCTACAATAGCAATGAAGCGTCAGCGAAAAACAGCACAGACGCTGTAGAGCGCGGACCCAGCAACGACGACAAATCACATAAAGCTGCTTTTGTGCCACGCAATGATCGATTCCGCATGTGCATGCCGTCGTCGTCGATCCGAGAGCTATTGTAGACACCGAGCTTGCAGGATGGGGTCTATTTTACAAAGCGTGTTTACGCCAAGTTGTTTATTTTGATGGAATGAGGTTTAATTTAAGACGCGGACCAGATTTGTCGTGTGGTATTTCAGACCACTGGAGACAACGATGTTCGCCCAGCTGAAGCGCGAGAGTCTGCGCAAGTTGCAGGCAATGGAAGACAAGAGCCCCAAGGGCTGCATCGATGCACCCATTGTAGACATGATCCACACGATCAACGCTCATCCTGATTACGTACGTCTAGTCCATCTTCGGTGCCTGTTCAGGAACGATCGATGAGTTTGGTTTTGCTGACTACTCACTGTGTCACGTATGGTACCGATGTAGGTGACGAGCAGCTCGTGTTCCGGCCGCATTGCACTTTTCTGCGGCGAAGCTGCAGCAGGAAATGGAGATGCACCTGGCTCGGATCTGATCACGAAAGGCGGCAAGTGGTTGATCGCTGCACACGCCACCATCACATTTGATCAATTTGTAACGGCGCTGCGCTCTCCTGATGCCCAATTGAGCAACAGCAATATGGTTCGTGGCATGCAAACGTGTGCTGAGTCCACGTGCGTGTGTTGTCTACTGCGATTGCTAACGTGTGTGTTGTGTTGTGTGTAGTAGATTCTATTCAAGCACGAGCCATTCATCATGCACGTCGTGTGTCGCAATGTCGATGCAGCAAAAAGGTTGTTGCAGTGGGGCATTGCAAGCGGTTTCCGGGAATCGGGCGTTGTCCTTGGAAACCGGAAAATCGTGTGTGCAATTCGTACGACTGCAAACGGGTTTGAAATTCCACTTGGACGGAGCGCGGAGCACTTGCTGGTCAACGACGAGTACCTTCGATGGATCGTAAACATCGCCAACCAGAAGTTTGAGGCCAATGAGCAGAAGACCGACCGACTCTTCGAAGCTTTTCGTGGCGGATTCTGCCATCCAGCAGCGGTGGTGCAAACTGATAGTAGGTGTTTGGTTGAATTGAGCTCTTGGACAGAGGTAGCGTGCAAGGAGAGCGTTCAGCTGTTGGGACACGCAAGCGTGCGGTACCGAGACTCGATTGTAGTGTTTGGCGGTCAAGGGCCTACCGCTTCAGGCTTAACGACACGCGTTGCAACAGTGACTTTTCTGTCGCCTTCCAAGGAAGGATGTCTTTCACAGACATACCATGCGACGGCCGGGGATCAAGGCCCGTCAGCTCGGATGTATCACTCATGCACTGTTGTGGGAACACGCATGATAGTGTTCGGTGGTCGCGCCAGCCCTGCCAAACCTCTAGGCGATTTGTATAGCATGAATTTGGAGACAAAACAGTGGGAGACGATTGCCACCCAAGGAGTCGGTCCTTCTCCACGTTGGAAGCATTGCAGCTGCGCTGGTGAGCACTATTTGCTTGATGTTGCTTGGCTGAGCAGTACTTACAATGGTGGACGAATGTTCTTGATGTGACTATGCACAGTCGGCTCCGTTGTGTACGTGTACGGTGGCCGCGATGACCAACAGGTGTTTGGAGACATGTTTGCTCTCGACCTCGATCGAAACCCGCCTCAGTGGCGTCAACTCGGTACGCCCCGATTTCATGATTGAGCTTCACCTCAGTGCACTGACGTTTTGTTTTTACTGTATGTAGATGGTGTTTTCGAATCTTTACGTCGATTTGACCACGTTGGTGCGGTTGTTGAATCCACAAGGCTTGTGTTTTGGGGAGGTATGTCATCATTGGAAAGCGGTGATTGCAGCGACACTGGCGGTGCATGCTTGCTTTTCGACACTGTGAAGGAGACCTTGGAACTCAAAAAGCTCGAAAACGCCAGCGACAAAAGCCAGTCTCCTGCACTGTTCGCTGCGAGTGCTTGCTCCATCAACGAGTACCAGGTGCTTGTGGTGGGTGGTATGACGTCTGCATTACTTGCGAATGGAGACAAGGCGACTCGACAAGTCTATATGCTGGACGTCCATGATTTCAAATGGAAAGAGCTCGGTGAAATCAAGCATGAACGTGCAGCTTTCGTGGGACATAGCACGACGTGGATGCCAGCAAGCAATGTCCTGTACATCTTGGGTGGCGGTTTCCAATGCTTTGGTTTTGGGCAGTTTTATTCGTCGACGTACCAGTGCCACATATCGTTGACTGTGTCAAAGACAACGCGTATCAATGGCCCCGAAGGCAACTCAGCAAATGTGTTGACTGGAACGACATCGGCCTTATCGAATGAAAAACCGCTGGGTGTCCTTGTCAACAAACTGGAAGTGAAGAAGGTGAAGACATTACTGGAAAAGGCGCGCGTGTACGACAAATCGCGACGTGTCCACGTAGCAAATGAGTCGATCGCCTCTGATCTGAAGCATACGGCAAAGTTTCTGATCCCCGTGACAGCTACTATTCGTGACCTCATTGCCTCGACAAACGATGCTGAATTGCAAACGCTTGAGATTGTACCTGACCAAGATGCTTACACGAACAAGTTTGGTAAAACCAGTGGATTCAACCGAAATGAAGTCATTCGTAGCACGATTTGTGCTTTCGCTAGTCAGCATGGGCTATCTGCCGAGCTTGTGAAGGCTGTTCCGGAGAAGTATGAGTTTGTGAGCGATGTGTTGATGGTCCCTCGAAATTCGTTTCTCGAGCCACAATGGGCACCGTTTGCTGCCGAGATGTGGGCACAGGTGTGTGCGTCCGCCAAGCCTGCTTTCTCTCGTGTTGCGCGAAAAGCCTTTATCGACAAAAGCGAGAAGCGGCAGAGTCGTGTGCAGTTGTTGTACCTGAACAACGATGCACTCACGTCGCAGCGTTCGAAGGAGGCTCCTGGCTGGGTGGAAATTCGTGAGAATGGTATTATCTATGGCTGGGATCTCACTCGGGTCATGTTCTCGTCCGGCAACGTCACCGAGAAGGCTCGCATGGCAAACATCAACTGCCGCGGCGAGACCATCGTCGATCTCTTCTGCGGCATTGGCTATTACGTTCTTCCCTTTCTCGTGCTCGGTGGTGCTGCATTCGTCCATGCTTGCGAGTGGAATCCCGACTCGGTCGCAGCTTTGCACTTTAACCTGCGCCGTAACCACGTAGCAGACAGGTGTAAAGTCTACCTTGGCGACAACCGCGAGAGTGCTCCGACGATAGGCGCAGTGGCTGACCGCGTGAATTTGGGTCTATTGCCTACGAGCGAGAAGGCGTGGCCGCTCGCCATGCAGGTGCTGAAGCCCAGTGGTGGCTGGTTGCACGTGCACGATAACGTTGCAGTGGAAGATCGTGAAGCATGGGAACAGCGCGTGGTGAGGTTCATGCGACAGCTCGCGCAGCAGTACGGAAAAGACTTGACGATTTCGTGCGAGCACGTGGAGAAAGTGAAGTCATACGCCCCGAAAGTGTATCACCTCGTGGCTGACATCCACTGCGTGCCCAGGCAGTCGTCGGCCTAGCACTGGTCCGTGTACTTGCGTCGGTGGATCGTGTCTGCAGATGCATATGCGCGTGGTAAGGAGTTCCCAATACGACGATTGTCACTGTTCAACCACATGGATGTGCCTGGTGTATGTTGAAGTCGATGGCTGAACCCATGTCGCCCGTGTTCACGGCTCTCTCTTTCCGCCTACTTCCGCCAAGTCAAATGTACGGCAATGATAGCCCCACACGTCGCTCAATTTTTGATCCACCAATTTTGAGCCACTCGCGACTTCTCCCCCTCATCAAAAAAGCGTGCACCAATCGTAAAATGGCTACACAGTTGTCCGCAGACGACGGCATGGAGACCGAAGCGAAGCGGCGTCTCGGGCCGCACGTGCAGCGCCGCGGCGACGGCTTCACCGAGGCCGAGTCCATGGGCATGCTGCAGCTCGTGCGCAGCCACTGGCGCGAAGGGTGGGACGTGGTGGCGCAGCTGCACAACCAGCAGTTCTCCAAGCACAACCGATCGGCTGACTCGCTCAAGAAAAAGTTCTCGCGGCTGTACCGGTCCAACGTCCCATTGCGTGGCGCTAAGAACTACCAGGCGATTGCGTTTGCCCACGTTGTGCACAAGGAGATGGTCGAGGGGGTCGCGCCGGCTCCGGATGCGGCGGCGGCGGCTGTCTCGAGCGTTCCGGACGAGCAGACGGAGCAGAGCGAGAGCGCGTTTCAGCCACCACAGGACCACGAGCGCTTACAGGACGGAGGAGGCACTGAGCCAGAGAAAATCTGGACGGACACACCGTTGGAGACCCCCCTGCAGCAGCGACTGGTGCCGTGCCGACTTTAGTCGCTAGTGCGGTTCCAGCGCCGGTTTGTGCTCCTGCTGGGACTTCGCTTCCTCGACCACGGACGGCACGTCCGAGTTCGGAATGGCAGGCGCCAACGGCTGTGTTTGCAGCGGATGCACATCCGTTGCCGAGTGACGACTTGCTCACGTCCGTGCTGAAAGTCATTTTGCGCTCGCAATATCAACGTGACTTGGACCGGGAAGAAGAACGCATTCGTCGGGCAGAGGAGCGACAACGGCGTCGGGAAGAGGCCGAGCAGCGGAGACAGGAGGAAGAGCAGCGACGCGATGAAGAACGTGAAGAGCGGCGTCGACGCAGCGAAGAGCGCGCCGAGGAGCGAGACGAAAACCGCCGCCGACACGAGCAGTTTATGCAGATGATGATGCTGCTCGTGAGCAAGAAGGATGCGGACGAGCAGCGAAACAACGAGTGTTAATCGGGTGCCCGTGCGCTGCGTTGCGTTCTGGTGCTGCTTCGTGTTTGTACGACGGATTGCCAGCACTAGAGTACTGAAGCAGTCTGCTTTGTGGCGTTTCTCCATAGGTTGGTCGGTCTGGTGTGTGTGCGCACAGGCGTTTGGAACCAATGATCGACGAGGACCAGGCCTTGCTGGTCTCGTTCGCCTTGTTCCATAAGCCGGCTACGTGACTCGATTGCCTGCAGCTTCGCGGACAGCCTAAGCTAAGGCCGGACGCTGGGCTTAGCATAAGATGCGCTGCTTGTATCACATAGCACAGAGTGGCGTTCGTGAAAAGGTGCCGACGTAGCTGACCTGTTCGACATCCGGTACACTGGTCATGTACACAATCTCTACAGAATGATACTGCCGCTGTCTCCGCACATTTATCCGTTTGTTTGATCGCGTGCTTACTTCTAATGCTGCTGCTTGAGTCACGAGCACTTTGGCTACGCGCTGTCTGAACGGTATAGCAATGACCTTCTACTGCATTCATGTCGCTCGACCCCCGATGTCGTGGCTTGACGGAGAGCAGAAAAGTTCGAGACCTCTGGGATTACAGTTGCCAGCTCGAGCAATAACACGGAAGGTCCGTCCGTAGCTGAGAAATGCTGTCAAAGGTGCGCTTTACTGCCATCGTGCGCCGTGCTTGGGGACCTCTCGCATAGCGTCGTCGACTGGAAGGTGACACGCTCACTGACTCTCACAGCAATGCACAATCAGACGCGGTCAAGTACCGATTCGGATGATTTCGGTTGGTGTGATCTGTTGCGATCTACTGTCACTTTCTCTACAGCACACGTGTTGTGTAACGGGGTGAGCCCGTTACAGAAAAAAGGATATTTTTGTATCAATTTGAGCATTATCGATTTAGAAAATGTTCAATTGACATTACCCGTAAGAAGGTAGGCTGAAGGAATATTACCCCCGAGGGTAATATTTCTTTGATGGGTTGCTCCACCTGATGGTTGATGTTCACGGTACATCAACCAGATTAAACACCAATCGCTGCTGGACGCGCGCAATCGGTGGCGAGCAAGAAACCCACATAGGAGATTGTAGTTTAATATAGTTAGCTCTTGACAAAAGATGGTTTATTAAGAAACATAACTGTATAAAATACAGTTCTACTTTTTCCATTAGACAGAGCTTTCGAGTTCTGCCTACTTCGTTGCGCTTCCTCACGCCACGTGTACGTGACGTCGAATGCACACAACCTTGTGTTGAATTGACACAAGGCGTGCCCCGTTACATGTTGCATCTTAGGTGGTCGCCAGTCAGTGCCGCGGAAAACTAGCATGTACTATTTAATGTCGGTGTTTGGCATTGACTGTAACGGGGCACACCCTTGCGTAACTTAACGCAAGGGATTTGGATGCCCCGACGGACGTACACGTGGCAAGCGAGGAAGCGTAGGTAGGGTAAAAGTAGAACTGTTATATTAATAAATTAAGTCTTTAAACTACTGTCTCTTCGTTTGACTTAATTCAATTATACTAATATAACTGCATGTATGGTGACGTCTCGTCACCACTCATTGCGCGCGTCTTGCGGCGATTGGTGGGTTGATATCATCACGATATCAACCAATGAACAGACCCTTTGGTCGACCCTTCAATATCACCACTTTGGTGATATTGTTTTAAAGAATATCCATCTTTATATTCTTTATTGTCACTTTCCTTAAAGTGACAATTTCATGTAACGGGCTGCCCCGTTACATTGACTGCTGTTCGGAAGCTGTGATTATAGTTGCAGTATTGTATCTGCAGTAGAGGATTCTATGCACACAAGCGCAGATACGTCGGTCCTCTCGGTATGCATCAAACATGTAGCACAAAATGCTGAGTGGTACTTCGTTAGCAACATCCTTGACATACTCGCTCTACCTGCGTTCCCACAAACTAATGGTGCTTGCGTCGTTGAGATTGTGTATGCTGGGACATGGTGCTGGAATGTCAACATCTTTTTCGATGCGAGACCAGCGGATGGACGGATAAAAATCACTGATTCGACATTACCAAACCCCTCATGGTTAATCTCTCTTAAATAGCTTCAACATTTGTATGAAGATCAGCAAAGCGTAATGTTGTACATGCGATTCTATCGCACGAGTTTACTCGAAATTATACTTTACATCGCTAGTGCAGTTTTTGAAATTATTTTTTCGCGCTTTTGTACTTTCTCATCTTGTAATGCGATTTTACCTTTACGTGACTATTTGGTGCTTTTTCCTCGAAAAAGTAGTATTTAAAATATGTGTCCTTATGTGCAAATTACCAGAAAATACAATTTCACTGTGTGCTAAATTGAAAATTCAGACCCAAATACAGTAATTTCACATCAGCATTTTATCACTTACTTGCGTTTTAATGTGTAATATCGAAATGTAGCTCTTTCACGATACAAATGTAGCTGCGAACATCACATTTTCAGCCAGCGTGTTGAAGACCAGCATGATTGCACTTAACTGTAGCAAAAACAAACAAATGGTGATGTTGAGAAATCATCATGCTACGCAGCATTAAAGCATTTATTAGAACAGCATGCAATTGCTGGTCGACGTGCATATATGTGAAGCAGAGACGTGCAAATGTAGCTTCATTTAAATTTTGAGCTGACGATTATCATTACAATTAAACAACTTATTTTTTCTGGTTGCACAATATAAAATGTAATGCTTCGAACACGATCGATACAGGAATTCTCATTACAATTCATAAAAGGTGACGATACGTGCTTATTACATTCGGATTTTATGTAACGGGGTAACGTCGGCTGGTAGTCGACGATAGGTGTGGTGCACACAAGAGAGGGGGTACCCTATAAAGTAATTTTAGAACACAGTGAGTGTATCAATTGTTGAAGACTGATGTCTGTCATCAATTGATTGCGAGATCTTTTAAGAGGTTATTTAGGGCAGGTTAAATACGTTGTTCTGAGGTGTCCTTTTAGGTTAATTAAAGAAATAAAAATTCAGTTCCCCTTTTGATCACTGAAGGACACGTGCCTTACGAGGCGTCTTTGATCGATAGGAGCTAGCAATACCTTTGAAGGTAGCTGCTCCTGAGCACTCTGTGCTGTGATTCTTTTGAATCGTTTGGTCCATTAGGAACGGGGACCGTAAGCTCTCTGAGCTTGTTGACTCTCTGAGTCGGGTTCGTAGAACCAAAGTTGCTCGTAAGAGCGTTAAATCTTCCTCTGACTTAAGGAGCTGTGTAGCTCCACTACATTCCCGGAGTAACATTTAACGTCCACCCGAAGGGGACGAGGCTTAGCCTCTTCTGGTGGCATAGCCACATAGCGTGTCGGCATAGCCGACGCTACTTGGTTTTGAACCTCGCCCAACAGGGCTGTTTCATACTGCATGAAGGTCTCGACTTGTGCGTTGAGCACATCGGGACCTTGTGCAGCGAGAAAATCCACGTACTCAGGGCCTACGGCCGCGTTCAGCTTATCTAGCGCGACCTTTTGGGCCTCAGAGAGGGGTGTGGATTGCTCCATCCTCACAGAGGATCAGTCGTTACCGACTCAGGCGTAGATTGACTACAAGTGCTACCAAGTGTAGCGGAGCTACACAGCTCATTAAGTCAGAGGAAGATTTAACGCTCTTACGAGCAACTTTGGTTTTACGAACCCGACTCAGAGAGTCAACAAGCTCAGAGAGCTTACGGTCCCCGTTCCTAAGGGACCAAACGATTCAAAAGAATCACAGCACAGAGTGCTCAAGAGCAGCTACCTTCAAAGGTATTGCTAGCTCCTATCGATCAAAGACGCCTCGTAAGGCACGTGTCCTTCAGTGATCAAAAGGGGAACTGAATTTTTATTTCTTTA